ATGGCTCCTCTAATGTGACGAAGAAGCATGAATTATGTTTCCCTATAAATGAGACATGGCGCAAGAGATAGGCTACTTTTCGCGACAATTCGTTAGGTCCTTCTATCGATTTATCGATTTGTTTACTTAATTCTAGGAAAATGAAAGCATATCAATCATCCCTCCAAGTTAAGTGGTAAGCGCGGTAAAGATCATTCACATTTTGCGGTAAGGCGGATGCGGTTTCAACGAAGCTAGGCGATCAAGAAGGAAGGCAGTTTTACCATGGATACCACAGGAGCGCCGCAATTCGACCTCGGAGCTGAAATAAGAATAGAAGATAAAATATAAGTCAAAGAAAATGGAGGAATGGTCTATAAGACGATTTCGAACAGGAACTATGCCGAGCCACTTTGGACCCTCGGCCCGAGGACGGTAGCTAATTTATATATGAATAAAACCGAAACTCTGTAAATTTGTTTGTTAGTAAGTATGTGGCTTATAGACTCTTTCGTGTGTGAACCGATGAGGTTAAAATTCGTCTCCCTATAAATAAGGCACGGCGCAGAAGATAGGCTACTTTTTGCGACAATTTGTTGGGCCCTTCAATCGATTTAGTGATTTGTTTACTTACATCAAGGATTCACCAACTATTGTTGGATCATTTCCTCAAAGTCATGTAATGCGGGCGGTAGAGTTCATTTACCATTACATTTTTCGGCGAAAAGGATCCGGTGTCTCAAATCAGCAAGGAAGACATATCACAGTTTCGTCGCAGATATGGAAAAAGAGCGGTAAGTCTTAACGCGTTTGGGATCAAGTAGCCCAATTCCCGGGCAGGACCGGCGCGTCATCTAGAAGTATATGAGTTTGAAGACGTCCTTGACATTTTCATTATCGCATAGGTTACGAAAATACTTGAAAAGATTGTATCTTTGTCATCTCTATCTGACGTCTTCAATTCTTCGGGTAGTAATGTTCTTTTTGAAAAAAGTTCTGAGAAGAGAATCAGGTTCATTATAGCTTTGCTTAGAGCACGTTAAGTCAATGGACATCCGCATAATTCTGCATGCCTTCCAGAGGTGCTTCGACGAGTGCTTACTTAGTAAAACGACACTCCATCCATTTTTCAACAAGGAATGTAGCTCAAAAGCTAGGCTGGTTACGAACGAAGCAAGACGCTTTAGCTACAAAGCAAGTTCGCAGATATGTAAAGCTCTTTTCTACAATCTTCGGCTTTTGAGCTGGTACAATTTTTATAGTCGTAAAGTCATTCAGCTTGTACCTTACCAATAGCAAAGTCGATGTGAATAAACAGGAAAAGTGGACAAACGCTTCGCCATTGGTCAGTTCACTGATTTGAACGATAGGGAATTAGATCAAGTAGATCAGTGGATCAAGTGGATCAAGTATGGCGCTAGTATTTAAAATTATTGTTATCAAGTTTGGCCTGACAGCGAAGCTATTGATACCAAACCTTTTCTTGGAAAGTTGCACTTTGCTGTAACCGATATGGCAGAACGTCTGCAAAGATTCCTAACAACTCGGATGTGATTTGAAATACTGCTATCAAATCAAAATCAAACAAACACAACTTTAATAATCACGGTGGAGCCACATGCGCCTCCGCGGGGCAGCAAAAACTGTCCTTGCACATTTTGGTAAGCATGTGGTTTACTTCAGTCAACTTCAGTCACCTGTGAGTTATAACTTATTGATTCGCTTCGAGGCCCAAGTTATCAAAATGTTCAAATCTAAGATCAAATTAGTTCATAAGCACAGAATTGGGTCTTGTGATACTCCAATAATATACTATGATCTGAATGTCTAGTCAAGTCCAGCATCATAAAGCATCAAGGCAAGACGTAGTAGGTGTTTCAATTTACTTCGAATATCTCATTATTTCTAGTTTGAATTTTCATAATTCTGTCAAAGTGTAAGGGGTAGACTACCATTCCGTGAATAAAAGACAGAAACGTCGAATGAAGACGTTGAATGTGGCAGATATGCCAGTTTTGGCTCTACTAGCTTCCTCTCGCAAAAAGCTAAGCCTGCAGTTATCATTGAAATTTCAAAAGTAATCATAGCGGACGTCATTTGAAGTTTTTATCATTAGTATGGAGCCTGTAAACACTATTCCCTCAAGACTATAGACAAATAGGCTTCGCAAGTGTGATAGTTGAAAACATCCTCATTTTGTGACATCTCGCCTGTAGCTTACGATTCGGTAAGCTTATATGTATTTTGTAGTTCGTCATATTTTTAATCAAGTCTTGTCTTTGAGTAGCAGATCCAGCATCAAAAATAAACATTGGGCAGTCCAAGTGGAGCAACCCTCTTGCTGATACCTTGCTACACAGTCACACATAAAGCTCGAAAGTTTGAGTTTCTCGACTAAAAACGACAATCAAGGCAATACACAGTTGATGTCAACCAGTTCCCTTTTCCGTAGCAGTCACGCGTCCGCTCCGCAGGACTCCAGCGCGGCGTCCTCAATCGATGACGCGAGTTTTGAATGCGCAAGTTATACGCGCGCGAACGGGGCGCAAGGCTCAAATTTTGCGATTTGGCTGTAAAGGGAGCAAAAGGTTGACACGGACTGTAAATAATTCATTCCAACAATATTGGACTGTATCTAGTACTTGAAATTATTGATCACTGTTCTTACAAGGGAAGGATACTGACTTAGATTTGCCCACTGAGACGAGACACATATATTTGCAATCAGCTTGAAACGCCGTTTACAAATATACTGTTCCTAGCTGCTTGGCGTTATTCTGAAGCGAGTTATGGTCTCTTTTCTATGCAAAGTTTGCGTGCTCCTCGAGCTACGGATGCTACGGTGTCGACGTCTGGATGGTTTTGCAATTGTACAATGCTTCATTTCAAGATTGAATGAATTAATCTGATGCGAATTTAACATCCTAGCACTTTTTCTGAGCAGATTCTTATCTATACGTTGTCTTAGGACATTTATAAATTTGTTGATTAGTTACAACGGCAAGCCCATAACTCGCTCTGGAATAATGCTAAGCACCTAGGAACAACATATTTGGAATCAGCGTTCAAAGCTGATTCCAAATATATGTATATTATTTCAAAATTCGAATCTAGGTTAGTATCCTTCCCTTGTTAGATCCTTCATGTGACTGAAATGCGATGTTTTGGGAAGTTAAAAAATTTTTTCTAATGAATATTAGGTCGTTCCGAAAGTTCTTTCCGTTTTTTCAACCTATCATAAAAACACGTGGAATGAAGGAAGGAAAACGCTTTAGGCACTTTCTGACGCAGCTTTTCTTCCTCTTTTCAAGTGCCATATTCCTGTGCCGCTTGCTCTTGCGATCAGTGAGATAATGGCCGAAATTTCGAACCCATGGTTTTTACCATGTCCAACTTTGGCAATTTTTCAAAATCTTCTTTTTTGACTTTTGGAAAAGCTTTGATAGCCATCAGATAGTGTAAACAAAGTGCAATTTAATGCAATTTTTTGGCATTTATAGCTAGGCTCAAAAATTCTCTAGAATTATTTTTCTGATGCTATCAAATTCCACTTTTGGGGATGCCAAAAGCCACAGAACATAAAAAGGCGCACAACTAAGGTGTCATTCGATGCAGCTTTTTCTCCTCTTTCTGATGAGTACTTTCTCTTATTAGTTTGTGGGGTCTTTGGCGATAAAATTTCCGTAAATCTTGATTTTGAACCCGCCTCATGATGTATCCGTGCAATGTAAAATCTTATATTTCGAAGCGGTAAACGCTCAGTTACTTTGTAAAAATAGTGTACAATCATAAACGACTTTTGAGAGTTTCGAAAACCGAAGATTTGTTGATGTTCAGAGCGTTTGTGTGTTCTGTGACTTCGAAAAAGTGAAGACTTCTGAAAAAGTTATCTAAAAAAATAATGAGAAGCCGGCTGAAATTGCCAAAAAAAATTCCATTGCATTGCAATTTGTTCACTCTATCTGGCTGCTTTCATAGCTTCTCCAAAAGTTAAGAAAGAAGATAGTGAAAAATTGCCAAAGTTGGACATGGTAAAAACCATAGGTCCGAAATTTCGGCCATTATCTCACTGATCGCTAGAGCAAGCGGCACATGAATATGACAGTTGAAAAGAGGAAGAAAAGTTGCGTCGGGCAGTGCCTAAAGCGTTTCCCTATCTTTATTCCACGTGTTTTTATGATATGTTGAAAAAAACGGAAGGAACTTTCGGAACGACCTAATAAAATACCTAACTTCGCAAACGTATTCTGTTTGCGTTCTTTCAAAAATCGTTTTCTTCTTTTCATAAAGTTGTGAAATTTTTTTGGAACCCATATGAATACTTTGAAGAAAATGCGTTTCAGATCGTTCCCTTACGAGCCCATGATGCGGTGAAGCAGTCGCAAAAGTTTGAAAGCCAAAAAGCGCAGAGAAAGGCCAGAAATTAACTTTCCCCCTCATCTTGCGCACATGCGGCAGGTATACAAGAGCGAAATTTGGTATGGGCCACTTATTTTTCAAAAGTCAGAGAGGCTATCACAAGCTTCGGTCCTTCTTCAAGCCTAACCTGATGTGAGCTTATCCAAGTTTCAAGTCAAAAGATGCGATTGGCAGAAAGATTTAGTATCATTTCTTATAAGTAATGGTTTTACGGCATCTATATGCATAAGCACTACTATGCGGCCACAGTCCTGGATAGATCAGGTGAAAGCAATCAGGTTCAATGTGAAAGTTTTGGAAACGTAATATTCTCTGACAAACAGATAAAGAATGTACGGATTCAAAACGTAATGAGTTCGAATTGAGAAGCATTCAGGCTTGTCAGACAGCTCAGCAAGCGCTCGTATCCTGATAAAGTCGTTCTTTGGATAGCGAAGCTTCAAAATTTTTGTGACATTTTCTGCATTACAGTGCTCTTTGGATGGATGTTTCAATCGACAATTTTCTAGTCACGAAGCTATTTTCGATACAGCTCCACTTTTTTATTTGCGTTGCGAAGCATCGTTGAAGGGAAAGCGAGATTTTAGTGCTTATTACAGAATATGTCTTGTATGGATTACAAACCTCTTATAACAAACGCTGGATTTTTGTCAGTGCTATCAACCCAAGTATGTGCTTCAGCATTCTCTGCTGTGATATCTCTCGTAGCCGCTAAAAAATGTATCAATTCATATTTTCATGTGAATTGCAAGGTGAGTCAGTAGAGAGCTTGCCAAAACATTTGACACCAGCAACAAAGTTATAACAAAGTGTATCAAGCAATTACTGCTAGTTGATTTGATTGCAAGTGAAGATTCCTATATAAGTGAGCTATATCACTGTTGAAACTATATTCCAGATACTACTTATATCTCTTTTGCTACTATTTATCGTGCACTCGATATGCACGGCGATGGGGCAGGTATGTCTCCCTACCCAACATTACAAAAAAGGTCCGGACAAGAGCATATTTGCTTGCTTCTCTCTTGGATGTATACGGTAGGGTAGGGGCATGGCACCAAAAGTGGAAGTACAACAGAACATTTTCAACAAAGTGCAATGCTGCAACAATTACACATTGCAGCATTAGGCCCCAGACAGACTTCACGCGATTTGATCGTCGCGACTGAATCGCGACGAGACAACTGTTACAACATCATTCCATGCCGATCAACTTGCATTCGGTTATGATACTTTTCCAGCCCGAAATTTTTGAATGTGGAATGAAAATGAATGGAAATCTTGGCGATTGGATCGCGATGATCAAATCGCGTGAAGTCTGTCCGGGGCCTTATGGCGGCGTAGCCTACATCCCATCCGCTAGCTGAATCGAAAGTTTGGCTGGGGAGACCGGAGACGGCAGGAATAATTTTCCCAAAGCACTTAATTTGGAACTGGCTTGTATACCCCCACCCTTGCTCGATTCCTGTCAACAGAACGATAGAAATTAAGCGCTCTGTCTTGACAAGTTTTATTTCGTTTCACGTTCCCCCCCCCTCTTCCCTCCCCCCCCCCCTCCCGCCCCGTGTCTCCGCAATCAGCTCACGCTTCTCCCTCTCCCTTATCCCATCCGTTTTGCTAACCTGCTCCTAGCCCGGCGCTCAAGTCTGGAAGGAAACTATAAAATTATTACAAATATATTTTGTTTTGACACTACAAATAGCAGTGGAAAAACTCTTGAAAGGCGCTCTCAAGAGTTTTTCCATTGTTTTTCATAGTTGCAGTCTCATTCGCCTTATAAGGCGCAGAGGACAACCTTCGTTACATATGTACGCATTCGATCAATTCACACCTTAGCCATTACAGAACAATCTCAGTAAGCAAGCAAGAGCCGGAAAGACAGAACAGAAAGTTAACTCTGGATACTGAGAAAGATAGTGATAAAAGCATTTATAAAAAAGTTCCTCGACCAGTAGAACTTTTGAATCTGCAGTAGTTGCAGAAAAGAATATGCAGTTTAGACTTCCAAATCAAATCTTTGCAAGGGATAGAAATTAAGCAGAAGTTCGGCAAATTGCTTTTTTGAAACTAATAAGTGCTGCGGACCAGTGTAAATTAGTTAAAAGAGATGCCTTGAAAAGCTGATTTCAACTCTTTCTTTGTTAAATGCAATAGTTTTTTTTAAATCATCTTCTTAGCAAAAAGCGAAGCACGGAAGGCAAAAATTCAATCCTAGCGAGAGGGTTGTACAGAACGAGAGTGGTGGACAGAACACCAAGCAAAAAAATACTCATTGCAATCATGACACCCACTACAACATCTTAAAGCTATAAAACTGAAAATGAATTTCTCAGCGACGTATGCTTCAGAAATCGCTCATATTTCTTCCGACAAAGTGAAGAATCGGATACCACTCACTAAATTAGAAGCCTATTTATTAGGTCACAAAGAATGTTTCCGGGCAATTGCGAAAATTTTTGTCAAATCGCTGTAACTTTAAATAGATTGCTTTTTCTGTAAAGCTGCAAATTTCATTGTAAAGACAATTTTGTCTACAACGTATATTTGTCTTGGTGGCTTTTCAGCACCTTACTGCGGTCCACCAGCGTGCGCAGAAGGGGAAAAGGTCGACGGGAAATGGCCTATTTGTGCAGGATTATGTCAGGCATGATGAGGGCAGGAGAGCTTAGATGCTGTAGTCATATAGAAGCTGCTATGGCTGTCATGGGGACTATTTGAGCCCTCGAGCGACCGCCTACAAAAAAGTTTTCGAGAAAAGTTTGAAAAATCGACCATTTTTTGCTCCTTAAAAATGAACCATTTTCCGAAGTGACTTTGAATTCTTCTAATTGTGCACACGGACCAAATCTTTGATTACTGCAAACATTGTTGGGATAATGCCTTTCCTTTGCCCGTCATTCAGGCGTAGCGATCCCCGCAGAAGCGACTGCTGCGAAAAGAGCCACAGTCAGGCCAGCTAAAGGCAAGTTCGACAGCTTGTAATTTCTGAGCGCAAATAGCAAAACTCGAGTGCGGCTGCGGGTCAGAAGTTAACAGGTTCCTCAATCAGATCACCCACGACTTTAACGAAATTCTTCGAACTGCACAAAAAATGGCCGCAAGAAGAAAATTGCGAAATTTTTACGGCTGGAAAGATTTCCCTTTTTGGTGTGCAGACCAAACAAGTTTTGGCATCGATAAAAATCAGAAACTTTGAAAAGTTTAGGCTTCCCTCCACTGAACAGTACAAAAAAACTGGGTGTCGAACTCCTACCGAGCGCCAAAAAAAAATGCGTCAGAAAATCAAATTTCTAAAAGTGCTCGGGAACTTCCTTTACAAATAACAGCTCCCAGTAAGTGATATGCACTTCGTGCTGATCGGCTACCCTCTGTCACATTGAGAGTGCAAGGGTCTCGTGCGGTTCGGGTCCCGCGCGGCCCCCGCGCTTAGGCTCTACTCCTCTCCTGCAAGCTGCTCTCTGATGATTTTCCACACTTAGCGATTAAAGGTCGGCCTCTTCCAGGTCAGGTATGGGAAAATAATCAGGGAGGACGCTCGCGAAAGAGATGCGGAGCCCAAACGAGGCGGTCGCGCGGGTCCCAAGCTCAGGGATGCCTTCACATAAAACAGAGCGTACTTCCATTTTGGGACCTCCCTAGTTAGTCAATTGTTTGTCGCTGATTGTCAGCCAGTCGTCACACTTCTCAGGTGACAAGCTGCACTCGCGGGAGTTCACTAGGCTATGCACGCGCGCTGCGTGCTCAGATGCCCCGGGCGAGGTGATTGTAATGTCTTCTCCATTTGACCTGCATCTGTTGCAGATCTATGCCGCAATAGACGCAGGGCAAATGGAAAACATTATACCCAACAAAACATATGCGCCAAATGAAGTTATCATCTACAAAATGTCGCATTTCTCTTACTAATCAAGTTGTGGAATGGAACAATCAATGTACGGATTGAAGACAGACTAAACATTCGCAAACATATCCAAACGTATCAATTTTCAAAAAAAAACTCTCAACAATGTCACTGGTTATGTAGTTTGGAAGGTATCCTGGAACATTTGTTCAGCGTCAATAAAGCGGCTGAATTGGTGTGTTAGCGATAGCAGACTGTGGCCCGTAGTAAACCTCCCATCAGGGCATTTCTCTCGACGCGAGCCGGCGTTGATCTCATCACGCCTCAGTCTAGCATCCGGCGAGCCATTGATCTGGATGCGGATCGCTTCCGAGGCATTACAATCGCATGCGTTCTTGAAAAAGGAACCACTTGAGCTGGTTCGGTCAAACGGGTAAGCGATTGGAATTACACGCGCGCGGCCGTGGTTCGACTCCGATTAGCGATACACCTTTTGATGCATTGCTGGGCAATCTTTGATAGCGGCCACTACGCAATCGATGATGACCGCTATCAAGGATTTCGCCTAGCAAATGCACGGATAAAACAAAAACACAATTTGTGACGAAAATTTTATGAAAAAACGAAATAGTTGCAGCGTGAATTCAATGAAATGTATAAATGAGTTCTTGTTTTGGACAGCTAGTGAAAAAAAACCAGTAAGGTTTATAAAAAAGAGAAGAATTTGTTTTTTTGTTATCCTCGCCAAAATCAGCTGTTCATCGATCCTCTCCTTTTCGGGCGCGGTTGTGCAGTTTTGCGCCGATTTTGTCTGCATCTTTAGCCTAACTGATGTGCATCGTAAGTTACTCAGGAGCAACTTACGGGAGTCTTGTCTGCGTCTCCTCTTTTACACACTATTTGCATCACTCTAACATCAGTTCACGTTCAGGTCACTTGAACGTGAACTGATGTGGAAGAGTTGACTGCAGCAGGTGGACAGATGATCAACTATCAGTTCACTCGCCATTCTTATAGCATGGGAGGGTGGGCGGTCATCAGTTCACCTGACGTGAGGTGAAATGATGGGATAAGTTCAGTTCACCTGAACTGATCGAGCTTTACTACAGGCCTGTGTATGACAGTAATAAGTTGCAAGATAGAACTTATATGAAGCGGCTTAGAATCAACAGCTGAGTGTTGATAGCAAAGGATATAAGGCATTATTATGACGTTTATCGTGCAAAAGGCTGACTTTGCGCTTTTGAGACAAATTCAATATTGCGCAGGGCCGCGGCGTAGTCCGGACCCCCCCCCCCCAGTGCTGGTTGGTACAGCCTTATTACTCTAAAATGCAAACAGACCAAGGCGCATCGCTGCGCTTGTGTCCCGCAAAGCGGCGGCTCTTGCATGCTAAAGGCTGCTGTATGACGAAGGCGCAGAAGTAATATTAATTGAGCGGGCGCGGACGCAGCGCGCACATATCCTCACCGTTGTAAATCCTGCGCCTCTTGCGCTTTGCCGCTAATAAAGCCGCGATCGCACCCAAAGGTGTTGCGCCTTCTCATGCAGCAGCCTTTACATATTTCCGCAGTTAACGCGCCTCATGACGGCTTGCCTTTAGAGCAAAGGGTGCGTCTTCTACACCTAAAAATAGGTTACATAAAGTTTCTATAAACTCTATATGTAAAGTAGGAAATCTGTGTGTCTGTGTGTCTGTGCACATTTCCCATGACCATGAAGGATGAGCGACGAAGGTCATTTCGATCTGTTGGTCATCAAGACATGGTATGGACGGTGGGAAGCCGAGCCGGAATCAAAGAAGGGTAAATTTCGCTACATGAGAGATCAAGCATGATTCTGGCTCCAGAACGGGCTGGAACCCGGGATGCCAGCTCGTTTCTTATATTGTCAGTAACTGCATTGATTGGCAGATTCATGAGGGTGTGTATCAAAAATATGATTTCGCAGTTTCGCAACTCGCTCAGTGCGCTGTTTAACGGCTCGAATTGAAAACTACATGTTTTTTTCCGAGATTCTGTCTGGCATAATGATAAAGTAAAAAATCATTTTATCTCTTAATATGGCTTAACAGCACTGTCCCCCCCCCCTAAGTTAGGTGTCTTGTGCTTTTAGCAGAACGTAGTAGGACCCTCTACCAAAATGCCCAAGCCGCTCGCAAGCGTCTCCTTGGAAACGAGAAAATTGCTCCGAATTAACGAAGAGGCACGAAAATTTCTAGGAGGCACCCCCTCACCAGTAATGGCCGCCCACCCGTGCGCGCCCATCCACCCCCGTTTTGGAAAACCGGCCTGCAAGTTCTCTACGGGAATTGTCGGGTTTTTCTCTCAACTTCTATTCGGAATCAGAGAAATGAAAAGGCTCTGGAACGATAAAACATGAAAGTCGAACATGGAATCTGGATGGACGGTGCCTTAAAAGGCAGCGTCAACCCAAAATTTCGCATCCCATGTTTTTGTAATTACAGTGCTTTTCCGCGGCCCTGATTACATGTTATGAAGTTTAAATTGTCTAAAACGCCCAAAAACTCGATTCTTGGCGACCCTTCTTTGGGTGCGGCGAATTTCTAACTAGTCCCACTAGCATGCCAGCTGGAAGGAGCCGCAACTGCATGGGTGCAGTTGCAGTGCAGTGCACGTGTGCAGTTTCTGCTCTTCTTCGTAACATGTCAGTACGTGTCGGGATGCATCCTTGGGCAGAGGTTGATAGGATCTAGGCGTGGCTTGATAGCACTTTCGCTGTTAAAACATTATCTCCATTCAAAGACACATTAGAAAACCAACAGCGCAGCTGCCTTTCTTCTCGGGCCTACTAATTATCGGCATTAATCGAAAGTGGTTGTTAACCTGGACATTTAGCCTGGACAGTGCCTTCGAGGGCTGTGCACTGCACACTCTGCAGACGTGAAAGGGGAAGAAGAGGAACACCAGAGCGTAAGCTAAGCGTAGCGAAATACAGAGTGTCCCAAAAATAAGTACACACTTTTCAATCGTTAATATCGGGTGTGTGACGTTTCGCACGACCGTAATGCTTTCCACACAGGACCACCGCCGCGCGCGACACACCCTGCGGCGGCTTTTGCCTAAGCAAAACACGGGGAGGAAAGATTTGCGTCGTGCATTACATGTTAAGACAAGTCAAAATCAGGGAGACACTGGAGACCGCCCGTGCGAAAAGACCGTCTCCCGTTAATATCTCTTCCCGCTATGCCTTTTTCTGCCATTCAAGTACCTTTCTGTAAAGGAGGCTTCAACTTAGATTTACAGTATCGAGCGAATTACCGATTTCTCTTAATTACTGTGATTATTGTAGAGACTTCGACAAGGATTTTAGGCCAATGGAAGCCATATTTTGCCTCGGAACAAAACGAACAAGCCAAAAACTCTTATACTATGGTAATGGAAGCCGCTGATTTCGAATATGAATTTTACACTTTACTGTGATGCCTCTTTCCAAAGTTATCCCAGGTAAACGGTATTGACCGAAAAACCCAGTATTTGTCAAAATGTGATTCCACCGTCAAAAAAGCTAAAAAAACATTCGTAAAAAGTTGTGTGGTGGAACTAGCGTGCGCGAAAACCCTAGTACACGATTTTTCAGATTTGTTGAAAAAAATTTTGTTACGTGGTATATTTCACAATGGTTCCATATGCTGGAAGTTCTTACCGTAATCCTACAGTAACGAAGACTTTTTCCAAATTACAAAGAATATAGCAGCAGAAAATGCTGAGCAGGAAGTGGTCAGAACTTAACCCAGCCATATTAAACATAGTGTATATCATCGGACTCGTCTTAAAACGCTGATCACAAATATAAGTTTATTGTCTGCGACGCGACGATCTGGGGGGATTTATGAGCCTTCAAATGCGCGATTTGTCAAGTGTACTGTGGCACATCTCCCACGAAATAGGTCTCAACAAACACTTATTCATGTTTTTGGTGAATGTGATTTCTCCTTGTAATTAAAATAACCATAGCCACTGTAAATCCACGCCATCAGGCTGCCTTTCAAGGAGCTATATTTGCCAAACCTTAAAAAAATTTCTCATACTCAAACGCTCATGATTCCTCCCAGATAGCCGCTTAACAAATGAAAAACATGCATTTGAAATCAGCGTTGCAATGCGGTCCGATGATATACCACTTGCTCGGAATGACTGGGTTAACTTCTGACCATTTCCGAAGACAGGAAAAGTCGCCCAGCGCGTTGACATTTGGGCGCGGATCAGCTGTTTATATCGATTCCATTTGGCGTGCGTTGAACCTAGTGATGTGTGTCTACGCTCCTTGCGCACAGGACGAACCCGGCGTACTCTATCTTTAGTCGGTTGCGCCTTTCTGCGTCTCCACGTTGGGCGCACTAATTTCCTTGTCTGCTTCTCGAGTGACGACGTTCACGACGTCCCGCGATTTCGACGCGCGGCCGTGATAAGAGATAGCCGCCCGACCATCGCGATTATTACTACGGGCCCAGGCAGGAGGCAGCAAAGGCCGGCCGCATTTGCTTCTGGAAGTGCCTGGGAGCTCCAGACTTCTTCGTATCTCCTAATAATTAACCATTTTACAAGCAAAAAAAAATCAAACAAAAGGTTTCTTGAAGAGTATTTCACTTTAGACCAGTTTGGAAATCTCGCAATTTCTTATCTCAGCTATAATCGGTGCCTATAAAATATCGGGTCCAGAACAGTTTCCTTCAGAGTTCATGGAGTAAAAAGGGATAATACTGCTGCGAAATAAAGAACGTAGCTATCAGTATTTAAGGTCCTTGTTTTCGATCAAAATTATCAAGACAAAAAGGATTTGTAGAATATGTTCAGTATTCCGGCTTGAAGAAATGAGACCAAGCTAAACTTCCATATCTACTTAGAATTCTGATTTTTATACAGTCTTCGATGTCGAATTAGGCTAATTCTATAAACCTTTTTTGAAACTTACTATTTCATTCGCTTTGTATATGAAACATAAAATATTTCTATTATTCTCCCAAATGTCTCATAGACAGTAACTCTCGTTTTCGGTCTTAGGCCCTCGGCATACCTTTCGCGATTTCAGTCACCACGCGATTTGGCAATTTGCCAGATCTTTTCAAACTCAACGCTCGCAGACATCAAATCCTTGGCGTTTTCAATTTTCGTAAGTTGATAAAATATGCTATTTTCCGCTTGTTCAAATGGGTTTGCGACAAGTTATAAACAATCGGAGCATTGCCAAGATGGGTCGCGACTGAAATCACGTGAAGTATGCCCGGAGCCTTGGAGTGTCCGTGCTAAATCTAACCCCTCCACTTGGTGCCGATCCTGAACGTAGGCCTTAGGAGAAGGGCATCTTGTTAGTTCGGTCCTCTAATGTTGTCTCTGAGTGAAGACAATAGATTTGGAACAGCAAAAGTGGTATCAAGCCATGCCCAGATGTTATCAATCTCCGCCCAGCCAGGGACTGCCTACCGACAAGTATTGAGATGGTGGTGAGCAAAAGCTGCACACTGCTGTAACCAGGCACAGATCCTCCCCGCTGGCACGCCAATGGAGCCGAGCAATCCAAAACCCGTTCGCGCTCTCAAGGCAGGGTTCACAGGCATTGTTTTTCTTTGAGTTTTAGACAATCACTTCTCAACTGTAACCAAAACCACGGAAAAGCCCCAGAATGACGAAACATGAAGCAAAATTTTGAGTCGACGCTGCCTCTAATGAAAGGTGTGCTTGGAGGCACAAAAAGCTGCTGTCACATTACCACAACGTAAAGTCAGTAATATGTTGCAGACACTACATCTTGTGCGCTACATAATTTATGAAAATCCTTGTGACACCATTATGTCTGCAGCTTTCTGTTTTGCATGGCGCTTACCGCAAGTAATGTGCCTGACATCCTTCGCAATGATTCAGGTAAGGAGAAGAAAATTAGTCATTAGCAATCCAAGTGTGGTGCATATAGCACAACCAAGTGGGTCTGTAAGGCCCACTCAAGTTACGAAATCACCTTCATACAGCACCGATACTTGCCGCTGAAGAGGTAAGAACCAACAATGATTCAGGTAAGAACCAACAATGACATTATGAGCGGTGTCTTCACCGCTCATAATGTCATTGTTGGTTTTGTTGTGCGCAGAAGTCGCAATCAACAGATACTAAATATGAAAGTGTAGTGTTCGTCTCCAGTCTCTGTATTTGTAAACATAGTGTGAAGCTCACACTTACTTGCAAGAAGTGTTTGCCCGCTTTCTGAAGATCTGAAGGTAACAAAAGCGTGACTTGTAAATGAAATGTCTCTTTCAAAATGGAAAACCGGACAGGGTAAACGCTTTGCTCTAAAGAATACAAAGCCAAGCGTCTCAGGTAATTTGGAGTGATAAAAAGAAACGGCATAGGAAAGTTCCTCATACAAATCAAAACCCGGCTAAAGTTCAATCTGGTACATTGAAGTCTCTACTTTACTATGAACATTAGAGCAGCTCTTCGAACTTTAAATAAGTTGATATTCAGGCTAAAGGATAGAAGGAGAAATTGAAAGTGCTAGGTGCCCTCTCAAATTCTCCTTTTCCTCCAAATACAGTTACATTCAGAGATGAGTTTTTACCATAAAAGCTTTTTTGCACGAATTGCCGTGTGCTTATGAGATGTAGATGGTAGATGCGACATAATCCGCCGATTACGAATCTGTCTCAGCAAACTGCTAAGCAATTTTCCATAATAAGCTATGAGCTTTTGTTTGAATATGAATACGTTGAATACGCGGCTACGATGAATACGCGAATATTTTGAATACGCGGCTAGAACAAAGTTGTTCAGAACACTTTTCTTGTTTTAAAAAAGCAGTGGTAAGTATGGGGTGTACAAACTCATGCATAGGGTATTCTGACATGCACAGTCAAGCAGATTTGTTGCTTAATATGGTGTGCTCAGGTGACGATAAAATACGGTAAGCTTGGACAAATAATTACATCATGATGCCGACCATTTGCGCGCGCAAACCGGAATTACTGGTGTTGCCCCTTGTTCACCTGCAGATTTTGCCAAATTTGAGTGAAAAACGTGCTTGATGGTAACCACCACTCCGTTGCAGGGGGAGCACCTTGAGCGGTTTTATTCCAGCCGTGCGTTTGAATTTTTGCTCAAAAATGCCCATAACTCTTTGCAGGGAGAACTTCAGAAAGACAGATTTTATTCAGCACACAATGGTGCATGCTGATGTACACCTCATAGGAAACTGCCGCTTCAAGTAAAAGATCTCTCCTGATTAGTTTTATTTAGCAATGACCTCTTTAAGGAACAAGTAAAAACACTTCAGAATGAGCAAATGCATATCACAAACCTGTCATTCGTTATGAGGCATTACTCAGAAACAATGCTCTCGCATACTTGGTCTAGAGCGCAATCTTGTTATTTCTCCACAAGATAGTGAAACGATTGGAAAAATTCAATGCATTTGACTTGTTAAGCATTTTGCATATGCTTTCGCCTTCTAGTGTCAGAATGAATGTACTGCAATGACTAAACGATTACAAGCGGCAGTGTAAGTACTTACAAGTTTCCACTTCCAATGTGTACAAAAGCGACCACAGGCGTTCAAGGTCGCGCTCATCGCGCTCGCTGCTATGTTAGAACTTTGCTGTTTTTAGAGGCTACAGTTGGCACCTTGAAAAAATGAACAGATCTACTCTGTTTGATCAAGAAAACACTTTTAACTGTTATAGCATTTTCAGTTTGATTCCAAAGGTGATTGCATCCATCAAGATAAGTATAGCTTGTAAGGTCAATGGTTTCTTGTAGGATAACCCTCACGCACCTTTATTCGTTTTGGAGAGTGCACATTAGTCTCGCTTGTAAATTATTGCATGACTGTTTTCTTCAGCTTGGCTTGGTAATAGAACGTGCTATAGCCCTATGGAGAAGAGAGCATTACGAAAACTCCGGATCTGCACTAGGGATCTTCATAGCTGCATGCTGTGTAAGTTGAAGGTTCTGAGAGACAACTATAACGCACTTGTATTTGACATTTCATCTGACTCCATTTAGAAATGTTAATGTTGATTGTGGATGATAGGTTTAATCCTCAGATTATGCTAGTTAACCAAAGCTTGTTACAGATAGCTGCTGGAGCCGGCTTAGCTACCTGGTCAATAATACAAATGAATTTTCAAGCACAACTTGTGTACTGCGCGCCTACTTCCGAAACATCAGATAGAGCAAAAATTCGATCTTATATTCTGTGCGGAATAAACCTCACTGCCTTGTTCTGCGCAGGAGTGTTGTATTTCTTGAACGAAGCTGCTCTCAAAAGGTAATTCCATTTCTCACCAATTCTTTCATTGTGAATCATTTGAGGAAACATATCAATCTGCACTCTTCGTATCAGCTACGAGAAAACATTAATGTTATATCCGTGATTATACCCTTATCAATCGTTCAGTCAAGCTGTAACTTGCTGGTTTCTATTGGTGGCATCATTCTGTTCACACACGAAAGAAGTATTCCAGTATTAACATTTCGAACAGTATCAGTAGCAACCTACGTAAGTGTAAACGGCCAAAATGTCCAGCTAAAACCAGTACATTTCAGATTATACCATACTACACTTTGGCTTCTCCAATAATTTTGCTTTTACTTCTTAAGTGGTCATCAGCTAAGCGAAAAATCAAACTAGCTGCGATTACAATAACCCCTGATGAAAATAATGCTTATTTTACCACATATTCGAAAATGTGGGCAGTCACTTCATCTAATAAAGATAGGTTCTGATTTGTTGAGAAGGAAAATCAAGGAGATTGAAAAAAAAGCAAAATAAGTAGCTTTTCAATGAAAACAAACCTTGATACGTTCAGGGGAATCACGGAGTCACCTCAGCTATTTTTATGTGAAAGAGTAGATATCAAGCCCAGCCATTCAACACAAAAACGGCTTCTAAAAAGTCAAAACTCTTGGAATTGAAAGCATTTGGCCGTCATGTATGTAAAGCAGTAAGTTAGAACAAATTAATTTTGTCATTCCCACCTGCCATTTCAAAAATTTCAAAAAATCTGACAAGTGAATCAAAGTTTTCACGCATGCTGATCCGATGCCTCACTTTTTACGAATCTGAAGAGTGAAGCCGAGTCGCACTGACGTTTAGGACGAAGATATACATCATATAGTCCTTGAATACTGATAACATATCCGCTTTTCAAATCTACGAAACGGTTTATTGAAAGAAGCTGCGGACCCTGGATCTACGGACGTGTCCTGTCTACGGGCTACGAGTAACTATGCATCATCAATGCGGCAGGAATGTGCTTTTAAACGCAACCATAAGAATACACTGAATTTTCCTATTTGAGACGATTTTCAAATGAAATGAATAAAATCAGAAAAATTGCAGGAATCCAAAAAACGAGGGGTACCCATGGAATTTGAACCTAGCACCTCATTATTGGAAGCCACCTGCCCTACCGACTGCATTATCACCGTTTCTGTAAACGTTGCTTCGTTAATTCTTTTCGATTCGACTGCAGACAAAACAAAAGCTGTAAGGCCAGGGGTCCGTCTTCTTTCACAGAGCCATATCAGTCCTGAAAAGCAGATACGTTGTCAGTCTCCTAAAGGAATCTCAACCATGTACATCTATTAGGGTGATCGGTAAAAATGGGGCAGCTCGATTTTATCAAATTTTGAGATTTTTTGTTTCGATCAACAATAAGCAGGCTGCAACGTAAACGTCGCTTATATAAGCGACCTTCGCCTATTATTCTGGCAAAGCGTCAACGCTCCTTTTCCACAACCCCACGAGTGACGCCCTGAAGAACTTGAACAAGGTTTTTTGAACATCGCTCATTCTTGCGCTGCCATACCTCAAAGTTATAGAGCAATTGATATACCGTTCGAAAGAGCCCTTCATGCTCTTTCAAACAATATATTAAACATGCAGAATTTCTTTCTATTTCTGGGTAAAAAAAGCGAAAAACCTGAAAAATCGCGATTTTTTGACGCAATAAAAACCAATAAATCAAGTTTCAATGTGTATTTTCCGAACATATTAGGTTGGCTGGAAAGTTCTTGCGTAATTCAAAGAAAATTCAATAACTTTTCAATGACTAAACCTAAATTCACAATCTTGTTCTCTAGAAATATTTGAGGGCCTGCGCTCCATGATGGTTGTTTGAGCGCAAGATTTCATGAGCTAGCCCCCGAGAACGAAGCTCTCAAATATGGGACTTCAAAATTTACAATTTTGAGTTTGGTGCCAGAAAATCGCAGAGTGCCGCAAGCTAGCCGAAAAAAATCTCTAAAAATTACTTACACTGCAGAAGTCCATAAGTCACTTTGGAAGGCTTTGATGTTGCACGGTGAAGCAAAAACAAAAAATTCGTGAAATATTCATTTTGCGGAAAAAATCCACTCATTACCGCAGTTTTTCGGCAAAAACAATTTTTTACACTCCAAAAAACGTCGCAAGGTTCTAAATAGGCAATATGTCTTATTTCTGGTTGCAAACTGTGTTTTTGTGGAAAAATTACATCGATAAGGGGATTTATCCTGTAAAATGACAAATTCCATAAATTTTTTGTTTCCGCATTTCCATGCGAGATTAAAGCCTGCTAAAATAACGTATGGACTTCTGTAGTGTAAGTAATTTTTACAGATTTTTTTTTCGGCTAGCTAGCGGCACTCTGCGATTTTCTAGCACCAAACTCAAAATTGCAAATTTTGAAGTCCCATATTTGAGAGCTTCGTTCTCGGGGGCTAGCTAATGAAATCTTGCGCTTAAACATCCATCATGGAGCGCAGGCCCTCTAATATTTTTAGAGAACAAGGTTGTGAATTTAGGTGTTTGAAGCCTTTCGAGCCAACCTAATAGATAAAATGTGAGATAAGCTGCATATGGATGGATAAAGCGTAAAAAGCTCTTTCGGATAATACCTATAAAGCATGCGTTCACCTGCAGAGAATCGAATAGCACGTATCTCTGTTCTCAAAGTTGCTAATGGCCATATCTCCTGAATTTGGAAGTTGAGGCCAGCAACCCGTCGTGGGTATGGTGACTGTACCTTCACGCATTGCAGCAGTAGTACTTTTGATGGTTTCGCATGTTTCACTGCGCAGATGCTGCCCGAAGTTTATAATTTGTCAAAGTGACTAACTTTGCATTTCAGCCATTATAAAAATCGTTAAGTATGTAAATGAGCTCATATAGGTATTTTCTGAAAGAGAATAATTCATTCTAACATCTTTCAAAATTGGGAAGTTTAATCACTTTTCTTTTTTGAGAAATCTACACTTATTCTGTAGGTGCCCCATTTTTTACCGATCACCCTAATACTTGCTGAATGCAGTGCGATTTGGTATCCTCCCCTCGGAGAAGTTTCTCAAACGGTTAGTTACGTTTTTGAGGAACATTAAGAAAATGAGCTAACTCTTACGATGAAGTGCAAACTTCATTTAGTGCCGGTCTCTGCTCAGTATAGCGTAAAAGTTTTTAAATGCTTGCTTAATCTTCTGAGGTTAACTACGGCACTCAATGGCTCATGACCCTTTCCAAGGTTCCCACCGTAATTATACAGTTATAATGAGCAAACGGTAACTGGCTTTATTCTATACATCTAACCAGGGATGTTCGCTTGGTCGAAGTGGCGATTCGGAAGGTGATGTATACCTACGGATAGAGCTCAGAACGCTGTCCTCAAATGTAGCTTCTATATTTGCGAAGTGTTTTCATATAGGAAGTTATTTTTTGTATTTATAGTAGAAGTGTGGGGGAAGCTATGAACCACAACTTGGATGGACAACATTCGAAGACGTTCAGATAATCTCAGATCAGACTTACTACTTATTAGGCGCTTGCACTTTGCCTGATCCTGCATGCTTTTGTATAAAAACAACGTGATTATATGACTAAAAATGCGCGGAAATCTAGTTAAAAAAAGCTCATAACGTCTGTTAGAAGAGTGCATCGCAGGTGAAGAAGATATGTCTGACATCAGCCAAAGCTCTATCCACGGGTACACATCACCTTTCGAATCGCCACTTCGACCAAGCGAACTTCCCTTGTTAAGCCAGCTCTACCCGTGAATATGGGACCCTAAAGCTTCTTATACAAGAGGGTTTTTGAGATCAAACGTTTGATACACTTTTCTGGAGCACTCTTTGGACAGATTTTGCAAATATACTCTCGTTTCTTGTAGGGTTCATTTTGATGGAATACTTCCTATCTTGGGGTTCTGTATTTTGTTTGATTTCACAAGGCGAGTTGTTAACAATAGTTTACAGCCGTTAATGTTTGTTAACTGCGACTATTAGCTTGATTAGTTCTCGTCTATTATTTGACAAAAAATGAATGAAACAAAGAATAAAATGTATGTGTCTTATAATCTTCGCAGTTTTTACTTTTTACCACTCTGAAGCGAGATATGGCCACGCGAAGGTGATGTCCATACATGTAGCGACATGTCGCTGCTTGTATGGACATGCCGTTACATGTACATACATGTAGCGACATGTATGTACATTCGCGTCTATTTTTCAAAAAAATATGAGCGGTAATTGTACGCCTGGTACTTACTTGCAAATTTGCTTACTTTCTCCATAACAACTCGAGACGCAAACATACCAAAATAGGTCAAGAACACGAAACTTTTTCGGGGTTCTTTATGCTAAATTTGATATATTTCCCCCAAGCTATTGCCTCTAAAAGACCAAAAATTTATGGTTTTCCTCAGAAGGTTTATACTATTAGATGGTTCGTGCCGTTTTTAGACCTATCCCCAGATCATTCAGAATGACCATAGACAACTCTAAGCATTGTTCTATGCAAAATTTCATCCACTTTCCAGCTGTTATGCTTTTGTTCAAATTCCTTTGACGTTCGCTTGAAAACTCGTCGGAATCTTCAACCCATGGATTATGCCTACCCTAAGTTTGCTATTTTTAAACTTTTTCTAGACTTTTGGAATTGTTTTAATATCATTTAGATAGAGTAAACAAAATACAATGTAATACAATTTTCTTCCATGGATAGCTGGCTTTATGAATCTTCTAATATCATTTTGATACTACCGTTTGATATTTGTTTATCCGAAAAATTGTAGACATTAGACGGCGAATAGCTAGGCTTTCCGATGCAGCTTCTTCTCCATTTTTTGGCAGATGTTTTGTGGTTTGTAAAGGCCTCGAAGAAGAAATCGCCATAATTTTAAATTTTTTGATGCGTCTCAAACGACATCCGACAATTTAAAAAAGCAGATTTCGAGGCATTTGCCTATTTTACGATTTCGCAAATGTGAAGAATTTTGAATGTCTCTAAAAATACTGGAAA